ACTGTTTCGCTACCATAGAGTGAATGTTATTTATTTTGTCTTAATCGCGATTTTAAGAGCGAAAACGGGGCGAGTAGGAGGAGTCCTGTAAGGGCGTTCCTAATGACGGGCGCAGCGCGCACCCAAGGCAGATGCCAGAGCGAGAGGGCGAGGGCAAAAGAGAAGTGGGCGCGCAAGACTTTGCTGCTCTTCCTGCTCCGCGAGAAAAAACAAGTTTAAATATGCCGCCGCTCCGCCTTCCTCTTCGTCTCGCTCCTCTCAAAGCTCGGCGCGTCGGCGTCGCCCCTCGCCCGTCTCGATCCACAAGTTCCTGCCTGGGCAAATCTTAATTGCCTAACTTAGAAATTCAGGTCAGTCCATTGGAGCGCGCGCGTGGCGTGCGGCGAGGCGGCGGCGGCGACGGCGGTGCTCTCTGAAATAAAAGAGGACGACGTGCAAAAAGGAGAAAAAACGAACGGAAAGGGAAGAAGTGGAGAAGAAGAAGAAAAGAGGAGAAAGACATGCCCCGCATAAGAAGGAAGCGCGACGGGTGGTGGCCGCCAGGCCGCCGAGACAGACATTAACACGTCCTGTACATAATGCTGGCTGTCCCACAGTGCTTTAGCGCGCCCTGGCCAGGGCCGGGCAGAGCCACGGCTAGTAGGGTGAGCAGAGAGCCTCTTCCCCCACCACCCCTACCACCCCTGTCGCCCCACCCCGCCAGTCTCGACCGACGCCATTCTGGAGGAGTATTTGTCGCTATTTGTCTTGCAGCCTCGTCACCGCTTGTCACGCCCAGGACGTTAAGGGAAGGACTTTTCAGCCGCATCGCCTCTCCCTTCCCCATCCCTTCCTCCTCCCCCTTCTCTCTGCAGCAGACTCTCACCGCGGTCCTCTCTCTTTCAATTTTTATTTCTCCCTTCTTTTTTTCCCGTCGCTTTGCCCCCTGCGCCGCTCTCTCCACCGGATGGCCAGCGCGCGCGCGCCACTGCAGCAGAGGAAGAAATAAGAAACGGAGGAAAAATAACGCCGTCATCTGCGTTGGTTACAGCTGTTTGCCAAAACTTTGACTGTGCCAATAACGTGGCAATAGGCGGCCCCTGTCTGGTCGGGGAAACGAGTGGGGCG